AGTACTTGTTTTTTGTTCTGGTTTCAAAACATGCCTATTTCTATTTTACAGTAGTTTTCGCTTGTCTGTTTTGTCTTCTGGTCTTGGGTGAGTATTGCATCTTTCAGCACTGGGTGGGTATTAAATATAGTTTTATTGTATTTATCATTTTTGTTTTCTAATTTAAAATATAGTTACTAACACTCATTTCTTTTTTCAACGATGTTACTTGTCTACTGTGTCTTCTAGTTTAGTTATTCGCTTATTTTTTTCCTGGTGCTTTCGCTTGTCTACTTTGTCTTTCAGTTTTAGATAGGTATTGGTTATGATATTATTGTACTTGTTGATTTTGTTTTCTGGTTTTGAAACGAATTACCAATGCTTATTTTTTTTCTGGTGATTTTCATTTGTCTACTTCATCATTCAATCTCGAGTAGGTATTTGTTCTTTTTATTTTTGTTTTTCTAGTTTTCTGGTGGTGCTTATTATATCATTGATATTGTCCTATTTGGTGTATTTTCTTCATTGCTAGTAGTACTTCCAACATTGTTAGCATTGTCCAGTTTTTTTATTACAGATGGTATTTCATCGCCCAATTTGAACTACCTTTTTATCGCTACTTATGTTAAAGCTTATATTAGTGTTAGTTTTTAGGTTTAGTATATTGGTTAGAATTAGGATTTACTATATTTGGAATTAAAGTTAGAAGAAGTTAGATAGTAATATAGATGTATATTAAGTAATTAAGAAATGAAGTAAAGCGGAGACGATAGCTAAAGTAAAGCAATACAAAGTGAGCCAAGTGAGCCTTGTTTGTGTTGCTAAGCATAAGCAAAGCAATACAAGCTATACTGAATAAATGAAGTGGTGTATGAGAAACCTGTAATATTTGAATAAATATCATGCGTTATGCAATAAATTAAATAATTATATAATAATTTGATAATTTTTGCATTAGTAAATTCTTATTAATAAATTCAAATTAAAAAAAAATGTAATCTTATTGACATATATCGATTATGTCGATTATGCTGATCATGTGATACAAGGAGTGTACCATGGTGCAAATACACTATTTTTTAAAATCTTTATATAATATATTATATTATATAATACTATTTAGAATTTTAAAAAATGATGTACCTGCACTATGATATACTTTTTGTATCACATAATTAGTATGATTGATATAATTAATATATGATAATAAGATTATATATTTTTTAATTTGAATTTATTAATAAGAATTAGTATTCCAAAGTTCAGTTTAGTTCATTTTAGGTTCAGGTCCAAGTTCAATTGAAGCTGAACTAAACTTTAAATTTTTCAGATCTTTGAATCTAAATCTAAACT